AGACGTGTGCTCTTCCGATCTCCCCAAAACCCCAAAACCCCAAAATGAACTTGTTTAAATTGAAACATTAAAAATTTTAGATGAAAATAGTTAAGAAATCAAGCTAAATGTAAAACAAATTTAATCATTAATTTCCCTAGGCATCATTATTATTCTTGTCTAAAATTATTAGCGTTTGAGCCCTTTTATTGTTCCAATTTAAGCTTTGCCTCTTTCTCTAAGAATATTTGCTTATTTTCCCATGCAGTTTTTCTTTTTCTTGAATCAAAATTGAATCCTTCACTAACTCCTCCAAATTTATTAACTAATCCTAGGTCTGTTGGGAATTTGTGAGTCTCTAATTCATCTACTTTCATTTCAAAATAGCCTTCAACGAATCTCATCTTAATCTTCTTTTCTAGATTTTCAACAATATTAAAGCTTCCCCACTTTAAATCAAGTAGCGTCTTTACATCAGCATGATAAGTTTGAGGAGGCAGGAAGTTCTGCTTAAAGTAAAGATTTCCTAATGCAAAAATTGCCCCAGTTTCTTCATCGATATCTATAATTTAAGTTATGCTTAGTTAATTTCGGTTCTGAAAAGATAATAGAAGTAGCTATATTAAAATTACTTACTTTTCATTGTTAAGGTATCTTTAAGTGAGATATTCTATATTCTCAAAAATGAATTGATATTGAAATTCAATGATCCATCATCAAACTGTTTGATTTGAGTTACTCCACCTAGTCCCATGTATCCTTTTCCGACCTATTCCCAAGTAAAAAGATCTTTTCCGACCACTATGTCAAAGATTAAAGGAATGAGTAGATCAACAGAATCTTTCAAGAATTTCACTTTTATATTTTTCTCTGCATACTCGACACCTTCTTGAATTGGATCTTTTGGATTAAACTCAATACTCAATCTTTACTCCTCATTGAATCTTTCAAGAAGATAAGGTAAATAATCGGAAGCTTCTTATACAGTCATTCTCTCAGTGTATTAATCAAATTCAGGAAATAGTTCTAAATATTCAAGTAGGTTCAATCTCTTCTTTCTGTTATAGAACTCTTGCAAGAATTCTTAAAAGAATTTTTCACTGACAGTTATAGCGAAGTATTTGGGTAGCTCAAAAGGCAAGTCAGCATAATAATCTTGAATGGGATCTGAATCTTCTTTAGAGAAATGAAGATCCTTCGCGCTGAAATCTAAGAAGCATGAGAAGCCGTTCGTATAGAATCTTCCTGCAATTTTTGTAAATACGTAACTTAGAAAATGTAGCGCATAAAATTGCTCAGAGGAGCCCCACATGTTATTATTTGTCCAATCGCTGAATGCATTTGCAAATCTTTTTAAACTAGTCTCAACATCTTCTTTCGAATTTAAGTTTTTGAGTCCTTCCACTTTAACAGTATGCTATAATACATTCTTATGGATCTCGTATTCAGGTGCTGGAACTTACTCTGTCAATACTTTAAGTATGAAGCTTTGTTTCTCTCCTATATATTAATCAATTTGCTTGTTGTGGGTTCCCATGATAGTGAACATGATCGCCTTGTAATTTGAATTAGGTGGATCTGAAATCACAAGTGTGCTGTAATCAAGATTCAAACTTTCTTTATCTTTGTTGAAGTATCTATTCAATACTACATTCAGATGTCCAGAGTCTCTTGTTAGCCTCTAGATAATGTGTGCATTACTGACTTCTACATGCACAGAAGATATAGCTCCCAAAAGGCAGAGAAGTAATACAAGTTTATACATATTAAGTTTTATTTAATTTTACTTATATATAAGAGGGATATATATATATAAAATATTGTTTTTTCCCAATATTCTACTAAACTACTGTATATTTTACTAATTGGGGTTTTGGGGTTTTGGGG